TGGAGGGCATCTGGGGAAGAAGCACAAGGCATGTAACAGAAGATCTGTGACCTGGACTCCACTGTGACCACTGTTGGGCCTCTGTTTCTGAGAGTGCCCCTGCCCCTCGATGCTAACTGGTTTTCCTATTCACTGGTCCAGTGGTTCTGGACTTCCTCTGGCTCTTACCACCAAAGGGTCATCCCAGTAGGACAAAGAAAAGGAAATCAAAGTGCAAGGAAGGGATCTGAGGGATTCTAATTGTTCCCCGAGATACAATGTCTACTCTAGATGGACTCCCTCAACTGGAAAGGGGAAGCCCTAACAGTGCACAGACAGGCCCCACTTTCTGAAGGCTAAGCTAGCAAACTGGAAAAGGGAACATGCCTACTTACTGGATCCAGCTCCCCTTGACTAAGTCCCTAATCTGAGATGGCACCAAGCCAGGTACTTTCTGCATGTCTATTTCACTGCTGTATCCTGATATCATTATGCCCATTTCACAGATGAGGAAACCAAGGGATGGAGAGATGAAATCACTTGATTCAAAACACACAGCAAGTAACTAGAACAGAGATTCCAAGCCCGCTTTGTCTGATAATTTGATGTGAAGAGAAAATGGATCTGCTAGGTCAAATCCGGGGTTCCACGTGAGATTTGTACCCATTTGTATCCTCTTCAATCTGTAGGTGTATTGTCTGTACGCAGAGAGGCAGAAGGAATAGGAACGTTCTGCAGCAGGACTAAAGAAGGGAATGGGAGGCATTTTTTCTCTCTCCAACAAGACTGCTGAAGAGGAAACAGGCATTGGGACTGGGGCTCACAACTGGGCTCTGTTGACTCAACGGCCCGTGTGACTTGGGACTAAGTCACTCCAACTCTCTGAGACTCAATTTCCTCATTTGTAAAATAGAGGTGATGGATGATGCCCGCCTCCCAGGGCGGTTGTGACAGTGAAACGTGTAGGCACAAGACGAGTGCCTAGCACAGTGCCCGGAACTTGGAGGCACCCAGGAAGTGTTGGTTTCCTTCCTGCCTTTAAGTGTCCTCAGGCCATAAAGCCAAGACTGAGATCCTTGGAAAATCATGTCCAATAATAAGAGAGAAGTTTACTGAGTGCTTACTAGACACCAAGTCCAGTTCTCTGCACTTTGCACTTGTGAGCTCATTTAATGAGATAGGTATTCATGCCATGCTCACTTTATAAACGAGGAAGGTGAAGCCCAGGGAGTCAACTAGCTTGCCCAAGGTCACACAACCTATTAGAGGCAGAGGTGGAGTCCCACTTAGGTAACCTGACTAATAAAACTGGCTTTTAGTCATTGCAATATTCTAGACCCCAGGTGACTACGAACGTTGTGGGAGAGCTGTGTTAGTGTGCCGACTCCCTGAAACCTAGCCTTCCTCTGTTACAGCAATTCTAAAGTTGGGAAAATGTGGGCACTCTTTTTTGGAGGTTGGGTGGGTAGTAGGAAGTGGGGGCTGCAGAAAGGTGGAAATAGAAAGATTCTTCTGAGGAGCCAGCAAACTCAACAGTCCAACATTTAGAACAAAAGAAGCAAGTGTGGCAAGCGGAGGTGGTGGATGGGATTCAGGTAAAACCCTTTCTCCTTCTGAGCAGGGACTCTGGATCACTAAGGGATGGGGGTGGGAGAAGGGCAGCACTTGTGGGGTCCACATTTCACTTATCTAACAGGTCAGGAGAAACTTTAACAAGATTAACTGCTGCTCAGGGCCTCTGCTCGATGGAGCAAATTGAGTCTATTGTTTTCTTTTTCTTCTTCTTTCTCTTTCTTACAAACTGGGGGGAACAGTTGGGGATGAGGGACAGGGGTCTGGATCCTGCTTGGTATGACACAAAAGCAAAAGGATGTGTCAGAAGGCCCCCGACCTCTGGACTTGAAAGGGAGCCCAAATTGCCGTGCACGAAGGCTGAAGGCTGTGCCTGGGTGGTAGGTCTGTGAGGGATGAGGGGTGACGGGATTTTATTAGACACCTTCTCTCAGTGGTCTAGGGAATAAAGCCTGGAAGTCAGGATGCCTGGGATTAAATCCTAGTTCCTGCTATGGAGGAGCTATATCATCCAACACACAACCCTCCCCTTTCTGTGTCTCTGTCTCCCTATTCTGCCAGAGAGAACTAGCCTGGGCAACTTCCAAAGACCCTTTGCACAGTAGCCTTAAAGGATTCTTCAATCCTAAGGACCGTCCATCCTTGGTGGGCCCTCCGGAGAATCCCGAACACAGGCACTTGCTAACTTTGGTTGTGTTTTTGTCTGCATAAGCCTTTCCTTTTTTATTTATTAATACATACATTTTTTTTCTTCTTCCCTTTCAGAAAAATAAAAGGCATGTTTTCTGAGCTTCAGAAGCAAACTGCTCCTCACTCCTTCCCTCTGCCTCTCGGAGCGCCTCTCTGAACTGGTGTCAGTGAAGTTTGAACCGGGGCAGAAATAGCATCCCGGGCAGATCTGGGAGCACAGCCCGCCTACCAGGAGCGGCAAGGCCTACCTCTGCCAGACAACAGACCCGGTTAACAGCACCGTAAAATTAGACCTTTACGAAACCCAATTGAATCCTGCAGCAAAGAGTGATGTAAGGCAGCCTGGCCTGACAGCGAGGCAGCAACCCTCTGCCTGAAATAGCAGCACGGCCCCTACTGAGAGATGCCTGCTCTCTCTCTCTCAAGATAGATGACTAGGGATTCCTACGAAAGTGGCAACGCCCAGCCAGAGGCAGCCAGCAGAGGTCAGGCAGCAAACTGGGCACCCGAGGTCGCCGAGGGAGGACGTGGCTTCCCACCGACACCGAACTGCCCACCCCGGCCCTGCCTCTCCCAGCCCGAACTTCCATGAAGAAAGGAGCTGAAAAAGTGCTTCTGCAAAGAACCTCTGTTTGTTTGCTTTTTAATTCAAGGAGACGCAGGTTCTTTTTAGTCCAACAGTCTGTACCGTGTGGAGGATACGCAGAATGAGTCTTTTCTGGCTCACAGCCAGGTGTTTACACACCGCCAAATCTGGCTCCGACTCAACTTGGGGAGGGAAAAGAAATCCACCAGAATCCTCTGGAGACAAGCTCCTGGCTTTCTGGTGCTACACGACAGGCAGTGACTTTTTGTTTTTTTTTTTTTCCGTTTTGAGAGGAATGTTATTTCCACACATAAAATGGACCAGGCATTTTATACAAGCAATAATAACCTAACATCCCCCATCCAATTAAAGTATTTTACTGCACGATCTTTGTGTGAGAGAGCAAATGAGTGCTCAGGAGAATGCGTGTGAAGAGAGGCTCCTTGTCTGAACTACAGACATTTATAAAGCAGGCTCCTGTGGAATCCCAGGTGCTGTATATATTTTTTAAAAAATGCACTTACTACCTTTTCATCGATGATACCTATACAGCTCTGGGATCTCCCCTCTGGAGGCGAAGCCTTCCAAATCACTGGTATGACAGGTAAAGACTAGGAAAAATCAGATCTACTCATTTTTTAAAAATCATGTCCAAGCAGAAGGCTCTGTGCTTTCCTATGTTCCGAAAGAGAAGTAAACATACCTTCCACAGACCTGAATTATCACCATCATCATTATTATTATGAATAACGTCTCTCCTCAATACATTATATCCCCCCTCTGGGTGACTAGGACTTGGGGGCTAAAAGTGAATGCGCTCAGTTTCCCTCTCCTTCCTGGGGAAAAAAAGAGAAAAAAATAGCATGCGATGACGTCAGATGTGGGGGAAAGTCACTTTCCTGCTCTCTATCTGGTAGCGCCTGAGTGGGAGCTCTGGGGGCACGTCTTGGTACAGCGACAGAGTTTGGGTCCCCCGAAATGGACTTCATGTAAATACGATGGAGTCAGCGCAAGGTTTGAAAAAGCCCACGCCGAGACAGAAAGAAGCAGAACTGCCGGAAGAGCTCAGAGCTTTCCCTTCTAAGAAAGTGTGTGTGTAAGGGGGTGGGATCGCAAAACGCCTCCACACGTTTCCTGGCTGGAGCAAGGGGGAACCCCTACTCTCACTTTAAGACGTCCTAGGACACGGCAAGATTGTTTGTGCAGGAAGGGAATCTCCCAGCCAGAAGAGGCAAAACTTTCCTTCACTCCTCCAGCGCCGCCCCCACCCCCGGCCCCCAGTTTTATTAAAAGCATTGCCATAGATTCATTTAGAGGGGGGAAAAATGGATGTTGGAGCATTTCTAAGGTTTGCAACCCTCGCCAAGTGTCCGGTTTCACTATGGGCTTTGCTGCGGAACGGCGAAGGGGAGAGAGAGGGAGGGCCAGGAGGGAGAACTCAAATTCATTACGGGCTCATAAAAGTCCCAAATGAGAAATGCGCCCCGTTTCGCAGCCGAGTCGGGGGAAGACTGGCGGAGTGTGCGTTAGGAAGGGCTCGTCCCAGCCCCGAGTGACAGGCAATGGGTTTTAAAAGCGAAGACATGGGCTGGCGGGGTGTGTGTGTGTGTGGCTGGGGGAAAGGGGGTGAATCCCAGAGGCAGCGTCAAGCAGAGAGCAACTTTGGGGCACTTCGAGGACTTCTAAGTCCTAGCGATCACAACAACCTTGTCCTTGCAGGCTTTCGGGGCAACAGGGCCAAGTGAAGGGGGTCACCTCTATTAAAAAGTCAAAGAAATCAACGGTCCCCGAGTCTCTTTTCACATGCATCCCAACTGGGTCATCCTCCCCTCCATCCCAAACCGAGACAGTACGTCTGACCATCCTGAACACGGTTTGCGTGCACTAGGCTCCCCGGGGACCAGCCTTCAGTGACTGCCGGTCTCGGGGCGGCCAGGAGCGCTCTCCGCGCTCCTCCTGGGGGCGAGGCGGAGACGCCTTCCGAGTGCGCCCATTCCGCAGATGGGGCAAAGCGAGGCTCGCACCTCGCCCCGGGTGCCGCCGAGCTGCCGACGGAACGGCTCCCGCACACACACCCGCAAGCCCCCGACCAGCCCGCCACCCGCGCCCAGGCACCCGCGCGCCCCTGGGGACGCGGGGACGGTGCGGCGCCCGCCCGGGCGCCCTCGCCTACCTGTGATCACCGCCGGAGACCTCTGGCCCCCCTCCGCTCGTAGCCACACTTGGAGCGTGAACGCGTCCCGGGGCAGCTCGAGGTCGGCCCGGAGGCGCAGCTGCTCGCCTCGCCCGCTGAAATAGAGCGCCCGGCTCGGCGGGCTCGGCTCCTCGGCGGCGCCCCTCGCCTCCCGCTGCTGCCGCCGCCGGGGGACGCGCACG